AAATTCTACCATGCCTCATAAAACCTACAATCATATCATTGCTTTCTGAAACAATTAAGAAAAGTCTGTGCTGATTTTCTCTGGAGGGCAGAGCCTCCAGATGGGTGGAAGCCGTCTCCAGAAGTCAAGGTGCCTCAAGGTCAGGGCATGCACTGTTAGCACCAGCACTGCCTTGGGCCACAGAGCCAACAAGTTTTGCTTTCCTAAAGAGGTAAGAAAACTTTAAAAAAGCTGGGCGTTTTCGGTTAACCAGATGGAGTAAAGGCTGAGGGCAGGCAGGTCCAGTCTGGTAGGTCCCAACCACCTTGTTCTGCCAAGTGGTGTTGGGGAAGCTCCTCTGGGTCTGCATGACCACACTGCTCCCACCGGGAACCTCTGCTTCAATTACAAGGATGTCTGCTCACTTCTTGCACATGAACAATGCTCCTGGAAGTGAGACCTCTTATAACTTTGTTTCAAACAAAATAACATACTTATCTTTAACAGAAGGTTAGACAACAAATACTAATTAACCAAGAATGTAGAGTAAATATATTTACCCTTTATAGCTGAACAATTCACAGGGAGCCTCACAGCAATTCTCTGAGATAAATGTTAAACAGGGCTGTAAAAAGAACAGGCTTCTAATGAAAAAAATCTCATTCTGTTTTCTAACAACTTCAAAATCATATCAAAATTTTCAGTAAAATGGCAAAGTGTGTGCTTGCTGTGGTATAGGGGGATTTGGAACTTTTAGTTCTTTTCCACTTAAAGTCAATGAGATATCTGTCACTGAACTCAGTGGGAGTAAGAAAGACTGGATGATTTGGCAGCATCTTTGGGTATTCCACTTTGCACATTAAGAGCTCGGATTTCTGGTTGTTTTTTATTTTTGTTTTTTTTTAAGAGCTATCACATTCCCTTGAATAAATACAATTTGCAGCTCACTTTATAGATGTGCTAGAGTCTTCGCAGCCTTCCTTTATAATCTGTCATATAAATCCATATTCAAGTGTCAATGTGTGAAGGAGTTCCTTTTAGAGGTCCTGTGGCTGAAAACATTAACGGAATTTCTAGAGGAAATGCCCTCAAAGTTGAATAATTTGTCTGTTTAGCTGGTTACTTTAGAAATAAGATATTGATGGTAAGAGTATTCAACAGAGTTTTTTTCTTTGCTTTACACACCTGTAGCTCACAACTATCAGAGTTGGCAGTTTTGATGAGAAAACTTACTAAAAATAAGCTATAGAAAGTGAGCCTTAGATGCAGTAAGTCAGTGTCAGCCTCTATGAATCCCCCAAAACTTGTTAACTTGAATGGCAATTTCAGGTATACAAGAATAGCAGCTTCAACTAGTTATAAGTAGAGGGATTAATACCAGTACTTCTGAGATCCTCTCCATGACTATTATGCTGTCTTTACATTGTTTCTGCTCACAGTATCTTTTGATTGTTTCTTTTTTCCCTTGCCTTTCACCCTCTGAAAATCCAGCTTACTTATTTACAAGGTGTTTCATTTAAAAAGCCAACTGGGAAGACTTGCAAGAGTAAAGACTGAGGTGAGCATGTCTAGTTTAGAAACTGTCCTTGGCAGTGGCTGTTTAACCCTTCCCTTTTGCCACAGCAATTGTGTGCTGCTCCAGTGTTCTCTTTTTTAGAGAAGTTATGTAGCCCATAAAAATTTACTGGAAAGAGGGCGTCTGCCACCTTTAATGCCTAATCTGGTTCCCTTTGCTTATGCAAATCTAATCAATGGACAAATTCTCTTCTCCCAGCAGCTGCACTGTAGTACGAACAACATCAAAGATTTCATCAAAGTTTCTCCGAAACAACTCTGGGATCACTGAAATGCAAAATCAGTTCTCCGACTTTACATTGCCAGCTACTCCCTCACGTGAGTAAGACTCCCAGAATCAGGTCCTTTGTTTCCATGAATTAGGGCTAACCACATAACTTGGGGTCAGACAAGTAAAGCAAGCGAGCGGGCTGAGCACAGTCAATCCTAACAAATTACAATAAGAAATGTATCATGCTGCCTGCTGTCAGGTGTAATTTATGTCATACCAGAGGGGTGACTGGAGAGCAGGTATAGGCAGGAACTGGTCATACCTATACTTGCTCCTGCTGGGCCTGATCTGGCAAGCTGCTGAAAGCTCTTCCCTCCCACTGAAGTCGACACAAACTGAGTTCATTTAGGACCTAACAGGATTGGGCCTCTTTCAAATACTATTGAAAGATAAACATGATTCAGTGATTTTTTTCCATTTCCCATTAGCAAGTGATGTCTCTGTGTATGATCATGTTTACACACATGTCCTTAGATGTGCATGTGCTGTTTACATTACAAACTAAAAGCCTATTTGGGATTTTGGAACACAGAAAAAGAGATAGAGGTTGTAACACGAACAGGAAGGTTATTCCCACAGCTTTCACTTTTAGTGAGTGCAAATTATATTTTATGTGACACAAGCTAAGATTTAGCAATGCATTTCAGCATATGCTTACATCTTTCCCTGAAACAGAAGCTAGAAATTTGTTTAATTTCTTGGATTTGAAGCTTATAAACTCATGCTCAAACCAAGAGTTTAATATGCTGTCCAAAATAATCCAGGAAACTCTGCATGTGGATGAGTATGGCTATGCCTCTCTATGTGGCCATGCACATCATCATGTGAGCATAATTTAACAGTGTTCTGGCATTCTTTCCAGATGTCTCACTCAGAAAAGCTATCTCTTTCTTCTTGCATCTGCAAGAGATGCCTCTCTCATCCAGAGCACTGCAATGGAAATCTGTGCCTTGTGGAAGAATCACACAGAGGCAGTGAAGCACCATCAGAAGCTCCCATCATCCCCACTGAAATAACTGCAAGTTTTATTTTGATTTAACTGGGAATGAGAGTAGGACAGGCTCAATGGGAGGTAACCAACCAAGTCTACAGCGCACTGCTGCAAAAAGCCAAATTATGAAGAAGAAAAGAAAAAAAAATCCACAACAACTAAGATTTGATTTGAAACTTAAAGTGAACCCTCCATCCATAACATATGTAGCAATGCTATCTACATAGGTGGTGGTAAGGGGTTATGTTTAGCTATAAAAATATACATGGTTACTATGTAATCCTTCTGATTTTCAGATCTAGCTCTTTAAGCTCTTACTCCTGTAAGAACTGAAGTTTGAGCAGCTGAAAAAGCATTCAAGCCTTATGAGATAATACTGCAATGCAAACAATGTACAGTACACAGCAAAACATCTGGCAACACAAGAGCTCTGGTCAGTCACAGTTTTGAATTTTTAACTTAATAGAACTACAAAACCTTAAGGAATATACTTCTGGTATCTTAGCAAACGGGAAGAAGACTTTAAATCACTACTCTGTTCTCTTTATATAAAATACGTGAATTTATGTATATTCTCCCAAAACTTACATAACTGAAGCTTTTATTAAGCAAGTCTGATATGGGGCATATTTTAAAAAATAGTGTCAGTAGTGATATTTTAAAATGTAGAAACAGATGTGCTATTCCATCACAACTACTGAATCCTCTTTGTATTTTTATATTATAAAGCATTTGTCTGCTTCTCTCTTATAAATCTCTCCCTCCCCACCAAACAGACTTCTCTATGGTTAAAGTACCACACAAACATTAAACAGCAACTGTTCTGAAAAAAATATATATATGTGTGTGTGTGTGTGTGTGTGTGTGTGTGGTTTCAATCTAACCATAAGATACAGGTATTTTAATAATTGTTTCTTTCCCATAGACAATGTAGCAACTATCTCTCGTTGGCATGAGAACACAAGCCCAGCTTTACGACATCAGAAGCATATCAAGGTATCTCCATAAATGACATTTATTGCTTGAGAACCTGTCAAATCTGTGCCAAAAAGCTAGTTCTTTAAAAGGAAAAAATCTCCAAATAAATCTAGAGCTTTACAGTGGTTGTCAATAAAGAAAAAAAAAAAAAAGTCCTACTCTTTACAGTAATACTGGCCATACGGGTAGCAAAATCTCTAACTCGCTGGCCTGAGCTCTGGATTACTTCTGAGTCCATGGTGCTTCTTTAAGCAGTCTGACAGGCACCTTGATACTGCGCATCTACACCTTCTGGTGGTTACATATGAGGCATTTATCCTTCTGAAGCATAACAGTCAGAATGACAAAAGGATGAATTGTTTTACTGATCAATAACTGTAAATCAAAATCAGGTACTAGTGCAATGAAAATATTTTAACCCTGAAAACAATGATCTCTTTCACAGTTTCACCATGACATAGCTGATGCTACCCAGGCTGACCCACACATTGTGATGCCCAGTACCCCACAGGACTGGGACCTGAGCAAGTAACAAAGTGACAGTGTTACACATACATTATTTTCATGCCACCTCAGTTCATAGTTTGATGTATCTGGAGTTCCCTCTGTGATAATACGGGTCAGAACTAAATTCGTTTTGCCAGGCTTGTCATCAACACGTTCAGTGCTAATCAGCTACCATAAACCACACAAACTCGATATAAAGTGTGGCTGCAAGCACAAGGAGCTGCTATACTGGCCACTGCCCACAGGACATGCCTGCTGCCAGAAAAGCACTGAGCTTTGCCTGACTTTAGGATTTCTGCTGGCCAACGAAAGCATCTTTCTATCCTAGTATAACTGAACTTTTGTTTTCTCAAAAGAAGGGGAAAAAAGAAGTATGTTTTTTCCCTAAATCTGAAAGGAATAGGTTTCTAGGTACAGTTGGAAATAATCCAGGACACCAACAGGTGCTTCACACGTAGCAGTATAGTGCTGAAGACACTGAGAGAGAAAATGAATAGGCTCTCTAAATAATACATAAATTGTACAGGCATTTTTTCTATACAACACCAGTGAAGTTAACGTATAAATCGGAAACTGAATTATTCATAAGTGAATATATAATAAATGGTATTTCACACTGAAATATGCTACACAGGTACACGAGTATTTCCATGCAATGAACGGAATGAGGCAGAGAGCCTGAAAACACAGAAGTCTTACCTGGAGTCTGGGTACTTGGTCAGGGTAGCCAGGCTGCTGGTGTACATGTGTCCTCCTACATCGATGTGCACAGGAGCATTCGACTTGGTGAGCTGAGCTGGGAGAGGAATTCCTTGAGCAGCCAGAGGAGAAACTGGGGACCGTGTTAGAGACAGACGGGACATGCTTCTTCCCTCCTGGAAACAGAGGACAAGAAGAACAGTTTCTCTTAAATGTAGCAGTATGTTACCTTTATTTTCAGTGTGATCACAGATCTAATCAGATCACTTTTACATCTGCCTGATCACATATTCAGCTAACAAATTATTGCCACCACTGTAATTAAGTGTATTTGCATCATTTTCTTTAAAGTACCAGAGGGGAAGGGAAAGATGCTTATTAGCCATAAGAAATCAAGAAAAAAAATTTCAAGGTGTCAGCCTCAAGGGGCATAAAACAAACTGCAAAATTCTAATTAAAGGTCGTGGGCTTATGTGTTAGATGTGAAATATCCCCTGACAAACGAATAACCAATTTGTGAATTGGGATTCAGGGGGTTTTGCAAGTTTGTCTCAGTAACGAGACACCTTTAAATTAGTGACTTCCTCAGTACTTAAGGCATTTAGTTTATACATGTAGTAAATTTCATATCAAACTAAGATCGATTTTGTGTCTTATTTTCAATAACTGCAAAATAAATGGATAATTTTTAGGCAAGCCTTAATATTAGATACAAAGAACTAATAAGCTTTCAAACTAAATGCGAGACCTGGAAGCAGTGAAAACAGGAAGATATATATATAAATTGACCTGTGTTTTCATGACAAGAAGCGTTACAGACCACTGCGCAATCTGGCAAGTGAAATTACAAATTCAACATCCACCTAATGGCTACTGCACTAAAAACGTTTGAAAATTAGCAGAATTACTGAATTGGGTCAAGAATCTTCAGCTAATAGACAAAGCAAAAAACACTTAAATGTCATAAAAATGGAAAGGATTAGCAAAGCAGGAGAAAATTCCTCAGTTCTCTTCAGTAAGAAAAGCACAGCTTATTCTGCATGAAACGTGTGTCTCAGAGCTAATTTGGGTTAAATCACTACAGATAGCATACATGGCAAACCAAAAAAATCTGCTATAAATTTTAGAAAATGTCCATTCATTCTCCCCCTTATGGGTAAAATAACATATGCAAAACATTATAACTGAAGATATTTCTGAATATAATCTAATTTTCTTGGTATTTTGTTTTGCAAGCATGCTACCAAACACCCAGACTCTCCCTTCCATCTGACAAGCACTTTAATACAGCATTACAAAGTGAATTCCCATTTCTCCCACGTTACTTTGATAATGTTTCCTAGAAATCTAAAGCTAGTCTCGTCTTTCTCTTAGCAGTAAACATTTTGCACAAGAAGTCTGGCTATGACACTCAATGAACATGCAGTTAGAAATATTCTTCGTAAAAATCCAAATCTGAGCTATATAGAAAGGAGCTGAAAAATCTTAATACATCCAGACAGCTTAATAAAGTCATCATAACATCTCCATTAACTGCATTTATCAGATTTAGCTCCAAAGGATTTCCTGCATTTAAAGCACAGCAATACATCACCCCATTATGAATCCACATCCTTTCCTCTTCAGAGGCAGAATGGACCTCTGCACTGAGCACGAAGCAAATGCCAGCTCTGTCCTAGGACTTCTGTGTCAGTCGATGTGAAATTGGGCATTAACATTTTTACTACAGCACCACCTTCAAGGAAAGTGATTGAATCCTTTCATGACTCAAGATGCTGCTTTCTTGTTTCCCACAAGAGCTTGTTGTGGGCAAGCTTTAGTAAATAGGTCGTATAGCATAAATAAAAGAACTAACTTTCAAAAGCAACTTAGTATGTAAGTACCTGCAGGATTTTAGCGCTCTGTTTACCAGTCTGTGGGTGCCTCATCTGTCTGCCAACACAAAGATTTTTCTTTCTTACCAAAGAGCACTGCAAACTCATGTTCAGTCTGTGCTCCCTCACTTAAATGAAAGGGTCAGGAGACACAGGCTGAATGTCAACCCTGTCTTTGTTCAGACCCTAACTATTATCACTAATGATAAAGGTACAGACCTCGCGCAGCACAGAGCTGCCTTAGAAACACATCTCATGCAGTTTCACAAAACAAGCGCCTAATTAGGGCTCATCTGCACCCCTTGTTACAATTTCCAAATGAAATCAAAGGGCTTCCAGTCCTCTGTAAACGAGTCTTACATTTAACCATTTGTCTTGAAACACAGACTTCAGTTTTAAAATATGCACAGATAGCTAAAGATCAAGTGATCCGAATCTATTTGTGCATATTTAAGCACGGCTGCTATCTTAGGATTTTGTTTAATGTTAGTATACCAGTAAATTCCTTGATCTGTAAAAAGTCTGAGATTCTCAGTGAGGCCATACTCACACAGTAGATATTTAATTTATACTATTCACTGGAGGGACCTTTTGAACAATCCTCTGCTTTTGGCATCTCTCAGCTAGAGCATGTGTTGAAAAAACACTTAATTATAGAAAATCACTGGAAAGCTAAAATAGTTCTCAAAGTTTTATGGCTTTTCATACTTACTGAGGATGCTACCGGCTTTTTGGGGGAGGAGGGGGAATTAGAACACGGGCTTTTCCCTTGCTCGGAGAGGATTCGTATTAAAAATGAACCCAATGTGCTTATGAGAGTTGTGGACTTCAGTCATTTCCTATGTGCAGATTGTCAGGGGGCATTAATTGTTGAGCGTAAGGACACTGAAAACACTTCTAGTGCTCCAAAAAAATAAGCACTCTTATTTCTTAAGGTACTGTAATGCTATTTCTAATGACTCTTTCCTCTCCTTAATGTAAAACACAGATAAAATTCATCACACAGAGTAATGCACTTATTTTATGCACAAAGCAAAATCCTAAATGTATTTATCCAGTGAAAGTCTTTATGCACATATTTTCTAATACTGATGTGAAAATTAAAACCTTAAGGGTAAATATTGCAGGAACACTAACAAAATTCATTTATTAAACCATGTAAAATAATCCTTGCTCTTTAGTTGCCTACAACAGGATACAGCATCCCAACTAGTGGCACAGGCAATAACCCTGCTCTAATAAGTAACACAGGAACCTGCTGAAGGCAAAATCAATAGAGCCCGATTCCCAAATTATCTGAATATTTAGTTTTTCAAACATTGCACACCAAGATCTTTCAGAGCCAGCTTATCTTTTTCTGCCTTTCTAAGCTAACTGCATAAGTACTGCTTGTAAAAACTATTTGCCCATGCAAAGTGAAATAATCACAATGCCATGCTCATTTACACACAAAATGATTTTGTGTCCCATTGTGCTCACAGTTGTTCAGCTCTCTAGGGGTGATTAAACTAGCTATGCTGCTACAGCTTGAGATGATTTCACTGAATCGTTTCTCCATGAAGTTGCTTCTTTGCTAAGCTGTTATTTTAACCATAAAAGGTAAACAGAAGGCAGTTGTAAGAGCTCCATTCAGCTCCGTGCCCAGGGCTATAACCCTAGGGCAGAGAATGCTGAAAGACTGCAGAATTTTCCAGGGTGTTGCCTTTCTTGCTCTAAAGCCTTCAGGAATACTGTTCATTTAATACACACTCTAGATGATACATTTCAGATCCTACTAAAAGAAAGACTTCAAAAGTCTAAGAACTTTTGGGCGGATGAAGCTTTCCCACCTCTGCACATAGCCCGGGGCCATGGTAACCAATACTGCTGCTGATGTTGGGAAAATACAGTAGAAATAAACTGCAGAGAGCAGAGCAGACAGATAGGGACAGGGGAGGTGAAAGGTTGCAGGAGAAGCAAGCGGCAGCCTGGAAGGGATAACGAGCAAAAAGGGGGGAGAGCGGAAAAGGAGGCAGCTCTGAAGGAGGGACAAAGTTAAATCGAGGAGCAGGCACTTAAAAAGACTACAGATGGGAAGCAAGACTAATTGCGGATGTAAAAGCGCTTTGTTTCTAAAGTTTATTGTTGCCAGGATAAAAATTAATTGAAACTAATGCTGTTATTCACTCGTGCAGTTTAATTCCTTCATGCACATTCGAGACGTGAAATGAGCACCGCAGGTTCCAGGAGCCGCCAGTCCCCGCTCGCTCCGCCCGGGCGCCTGCGGGGCCCCGCGGGTCGCGCCCCGCGCCCCGCCCGCAGCAGGACCGACGCCCGCCGACGGGCGCTGCGGCCGCTCCGCTCCGCCCGGCTCCGGGGAGGCCGGCGCCCGCCCGCGGCCCGGCCCCACCGCCGGATCGGCCCCGCCGCAGCGCTCCGGGCCGAGCAGCTGCGGGAGCAGCCCCAGCCCCGCGGCCCCGCGGAGCCGGGGGCAGAGCCCCGGGCCGGGCATTACCTTTGTCTCCATAAACACGCACGGCGACCGCTCGGGTCTGCCTCCAGAGCCACTCGGAGACAATTGGTTACGCTGAGAAGCGAGCCTAGAGACAAAGAAGGGATGGGGTTACTTGAAACCTCGCACTGGATGGCTCCAAAATTTAAAGTCCGTCAACATTTGCACACACCTCCGCGCTGCCTCACGCACCGCTGTCCCGAGTGACAGAGTGGATCGTGCCCAAAACTTTTGCAGGGGGAGTGGGGGCTCCCTGCGGAGCTCTCCTCACACACA